GAAGCGCTGAGTCTAGGTTTTAGGTTAGGGAAGCCCATCTGCTGAGAAGAGTCAGTGAATGGCGTGTCAAGACTCCCCTATATCCTCCTTTTTTGTGGAAACGTCCTCGAGGGTGTTCTCTACATTCAGTTCATCAGCATTTGAAAAAAGTGAAAACTACCATTAAAAAAAGAGACAATTTCACAATTCTTTCGAAAACAACTATTTGCACTGTAGTTAACTTTTTTTTTGTTTTATGTTTCTTTTAATGCTTTTTTACACACTTACATCTCTGAACAAACATGACACATACAAAAACACATCTACCTACACAGATACATATTATTTATAAGTGAATGCAATTTTTAGCTATTTTAGCTACCTTTTATTAATTGACTATTAGACTATTGAATAGTTGGGTACTCAATCAGTATGAGTACTTCTATCATTGGATATGTTTTGCTGTATTAAATAATATAGCAAAAAAATACAGAGAGGACCCTTCTACGTGAATCGAATGAAAAAAAGAACTAGTAATGAGTAGTTTATAAAAAATCCATTTTTTTTAATTTGTATTTCATGTTCTTCTTTGTAGCATTTGAGCTTCGTTTTTTATATTGAATTTGTTAAAACAAATACTCTTGCACTCAATACAAATGGTTTTTAGTAAAAGGCCAAAGAATCTACATACTTAATTCATAAGCCACTTGTTACTTGTGGTCGCTTACCGAAATGATTTAGTAGGACAACTGGCCTTGAATATTGAATAACTTTTTTTCATTTGCCGCGCCGGTGCTTCTTGAAAATGTAAATGACAGAAATTTACGTAGCAAAGTAAGTAAAGTTTGTATAGAAAATGATAGGAAAATTTCGTGATTTTCGATTCGTGCGAAAACAAGAATAGGCGCCAATAACTTAGGAGCTTGGATATTTTGGGCTTAGGAAAATTATTGTAATGCACTAAATACAAAACTTTAAATTTTATATACGCCAATATTATAAATACGGTGACCATCCGTCCTGTATTGTACGGGACAGTCCTCTTTTTTTACCCATTGTCCTGGTAATTTATTTATTTTATACGGGACGGCAAATGTTCTGTATTTCTTTTAGTGTCCTGTATTTGTCCCGTATTCGATACTTCGACGCCTTAACAGGTCATTAAAATGGCATGCCTATGAACGAGTTTCAAATAATGTTGGTATATGATAGTAATTTTTTCCATAAACAATTATTATTTTCCAATGTGAATGCCTCTGATTCGAGTTTTGGCTATTTTGCCTTAGTTTATTTAATTATTATTATTTACTTTATGAAAGTAAAGCTCTTTTCCTAACAAAAACCATATATTTAATACCAAATCTCCAACTTTGTGCAAAAAAACTCTAAAAATTAATTCTGCAATATTTCACCAAAATTTAAATTTTTTTAATTAGAATCTTCAGAAAAAAATTTGGTTTGCAGTTTTGTCACTTATTAAAATTAAGTATAATAAAGTGTGATTCGAAAGCGCTGCTCATTTGCTTCTCTTTCAAAAAAATCGTCGAACATACTTACTTTGTATGAAAAAAATGAGTAACATCGTCACCGAAAAAACTTAAATTTAACGATTTTTTTTTTACAAATTTTACGGGGTAAAAAATTGTGGTAAATGATCCTAAAAATAAGCGCTAATTCATCCAGGATCATTGAAGAAGGCCTTAAAATCTGTAAGCTGTTGTGGAAAAAATTTAAAAAATTTTCTCATAAATATGGTCACCGTAATTATAAATGAAAAATAGAATTGAACAAATTTTTGGTTCCCACAGTCAAAGTTCATAACGGTCTGAATAGAGAATCTAGCGGGACAAAACTATTTTCGTTGACAGATTTGTACACCAATTCCTATCTACTAGTTTATGAGGCCACTGATTACAAGTCTTCAGTCAGGTTTCAAATATCCAATATGGCGGACGATTTTTTTTTTTAATCTATTGCGATCGCTGATTGTGAATCTGACCATGAACTCTTAAAACTCAAGTTGTTAAAAGTTGATCGAATATTTTCGGAATTTGCTACTCGGGCGTTTTTGGTAGTATTTAGCAGTTTTTATGGTAGCTGATTACGAATCTGAAAGCACATTTGAAAAATTTTAAATTTCGGTCCAATTTGACGGCTTTCTAATTTAAAAAGTAAGTGAATTTTAATAGAAAATAGTGAATTCATATATTGAACAAAGTTTGCAAAAGTTGGCTATAATTTTCGCGTGTGTGTAGTTTAGATTTTTGGCAAAGTTTGGTAGACATTTTTTCCTGCAATTCTGAAATCTAATACATATAATTACATTTTGCCTATACTTACGAAAATGTATGTTTTCACTATTGTAAATAAATAATTAATAATTTTTAAGATGAGTCAATTGAACGCTAAAACAAAACCTATGGTGCTGGATACGTCTCTGGCGAATTCTGAAATTTTGCAAATTGCAAAAATTGTCATTCATGTAAATCACAGAGTGGATGGGTCTTCTAACTAGACATTCCTTTGAAATTATATTCGGCCTTAGTACCGATTTGAAGACTTGAAATTTTCGTCCCGCTAGATTCTCCATTCAGACCATTGTGTGATCTAAAAAAAAGGGCTCGAACGTGTATGCTTTAACTCGTCGAACGCGACAGAAAACCGTGGTAGAAAAAAAAAATCCTTTTAGACATCGGTTATTAGTAACCATAGCGACAATGTAGTAGAGTTTGAACAAAATCGCTGACATACAATATTTCGCTAAGGTTTTACTCTAATTGTCTGAGCTAGTTTTCAAGTTATTCGAAAAATGGCAATTTAAAAAAGAAATCGGTTCCCTCGTTTTCAAATTAAGAAAAGCGATCTCATTTTACATATTTTATCTATTGTAACTCTTGCTGTTAGTCAGAAATCATGAATCGTTAAAACAACAGTCATTTGACGGGAAGAACACACCATCCTCTGAACCGGACTGACTATACAAATGTAGTCTATTATAGACTCTCACCGCTTGAATTCCATCATCGCTGATTTTGACAGAGTTTAGAAAGCTGTTACAATGCAAAATAAGTGAACAATTTTCTTTCGGTTTCCCATTTTCAATTATTTTCTGTAGTCCAATATGTTTCAGTATTCAGATATAAAATTAATAAAAATATTCTAGTTCCATTTTCAATAAAATATATACATTTTAGAATATAAATAAACTAGTTGAAAACCCGGTTTATTCGATTGTAAAACTTCGGTTTATTCGTATTCACAAAATGAAGATTACAAAAAAAACCGCAAAATATTCAAAACCCCGGTTTTGAAAAACCAAGTCAAACACTCTAATATGCATATCGCGAAATATCGGAATTTTTGAATTATTCTAAATTACCATTATACTGTAGGAGGTGGGCGTAATTGTTTTCCTATCTCAAATTGGGTTATTTAGTGAGGGCAAAAGCCATTTGTGTACCAAGTTTTTGAGTTTGAGGCAAATATACCGTTATACGGAAGGTGCACGTGTTTGAGTCCAGCTTCGCTATTTTCAATACCAACTTACCTTGGGCCATCCCAACACCAAGTTACATAGTTATATGTATGAATTTTTACTCAAGTTATCGTATACACGGACAGAGGGACAGACGAACGAACAATCGATTCTTTCATTCTGAGTTAATATAAGTGCGCTCAGGTATAGAAATATTCATAGCTGAATTCAGTGTCAGGGCTATTTTTTATATACATTCTGTTAGTTAATTTTTAGAGCCACAAGAAAAGGTGTAGAAGGTTTTCGTAAAAAACTGCGTATTAAAAATAGTTTTACGTGAAAGCTTTCACTTAGCCGTTGGTCGAAAAGTTTCTAAATTTAGGTAAGCGACTATTTCAGTGACAAAAGCAATCTTTGTAGTTTTAAAATTTTTTAAGGTGGATTCATCGTTCTAGTTCTGAACTAATTGAACTGGTTGAAGTTGACTTACCAACTCGAAAGTGTTCAGAAGTTTTTTCAGTTGCTCTCCCAGAGAGAAAAACACAACAACAACCACAGGGAGAAAAGTTCGGAACTAGAACGATGACTTCACCTTTATACTTTCTTTCTATTTTGTACTGTGTGTATTGAGTGTTTTGTGGTTTTTAGTTACATGTTTAATTTTGAAGTTAAAAAATATATAAATTTTACTTTTGTGCAAAAAAGATCAGGAGCTTTTGTATAAGCAAAAAAAAATTAGTTTTGAAACCAATGCTAATATTTGGCCAAAAATTTCTTTAAAAAAATATTTTTACAGTAAGAAAAATTTTAAAATTTGGCCTGCTCGCACGATTGGTACGATTTCTAGAATTTATTATTGGTACAAAATATGAAAATTAGGAAGAGTTTCTTTAGCAGTCACGTGATTTGTGCAATACATTCAAACTCAATTGGAAATTTAATTGACAAATGTAAAAAAAAATCTTTCGTTAATAGTTTTCCATCAGACGATTGGCAAATCTGACTTACTTTTTGATTGAAACAATATTTCGGGGTTTTTGTAAGTTTTTTTTTTTACTTTTTAGCGACTTTAAAATTCTATAAGAGCTCTAGGGAGTCGGCGATCTCAACTCAAATGCACAACATTTTTATTAATTTTTTTAAATTTAAATAATTTAGCGCAAAAAATTAGACCAAGTAGATTTTATTTTCATATGGGATTCGAGCAAATGCAACACTGTTCGTTTTATTTTAATTTTTAATTTATTTTTATTTATTTGTTACACATTATTATAGTGCAATCATATCTTTATTTACGCATTTTTAAGTGTTGAAATATTTTTAGCAAACTTACATAACTGCCTGCTGTTTGCTCGAATCCAAAACTATAATTACATATGTTTAATTTTATGGCTTTCACCATTACCACTTCATTTATTTATTANTACTAATAAAAATACAATCATAATGAGTTTTGTACTTAGTGTGTGTACACCTCTTTACTAATCCCTTCTGCATTTTAAATTATTCACCATGTGCTTTACCATGAAAAAATGTGCATTAATCGCTCCACTTTGTTGTGGTTTTCCAAAAATTATGTCCCCCAGATTTCTGCAAGGGCCGTGAAACGTTACAAAATCTCTGCGATCAAATACCGGGTGATGCTTTGTTATATTCGCTATTTCGCGAAAGTGCCGAGCCGGTGAAGTGTCCGTTGAAGGGTAAGTTGCAGTTAAATTTTTTTTTTAGCTGTTTAGCGTTATATTGTTGCTGCTTCTATTTACTTAAATATCGCCCTTTTATGCCTTCATCTTCATCTTTAGGACCTTTTATATTCACCTATAATCGTGGTCATGGTGAATGTAAGAGCCCTGTTTCAAATATCGAAAGCTGCACAGAAGACAGTCGTTTGTTGCTCAGTTTTCAAGCTTGTCCCGACGTGCAAGGCACCGAAAGCACAGGTAATTAATTTGATATATGTACATATTTTTTGCTTAAATATTTTGAATCAAACATTTAAACCCTATAGGAAGTGATGTTTTCGTGTTTTAAAACCTTAGCATAAATCCCTGTTTTGCCAACTCTTATTTCTTTCAACAGTTGAAGAACTAACTTGCTTGGCTACTTGGAAGGATGGCAACTCAAGATATCTTGTTGGCTTGGTTTCGCATCATCATGCCATCTCGAATGAAGAGCGTTATCGTTGCTTCGTCTATGAGAAAATCTCCTCGCTAATGGGTAAGTGTGTTGATGTCGATGTGAAATGCTTTTTAAAACCTGAAACTGAAACTGAAAAGAAAATACGGAATTACGTAAAACGGTTTTAATATCAGTAAAATCTAAGCATATACATACAGTCAGTCAATAAAGTTTGGGAACAGCTAATTTTTTACAATACGGACATTTTTTTTTTTTTAAATATTTTATTTTTCGCTAATTTTTTTATAAAAATATGGTTAATTATACCACAAAACCCCAAAAATCTAAGCTCCAAACCTTGTGCAAAATTAAAGAAAATTGTGCAAAATTCCATTTAAATATTGCACTTTTTATTTACGCTCGCTAGAATAAAGTTGGGTATGCGGTTTTTTAGCCCATTTAATTTTAGTATAATAAAGTGCAAGTATGATGATGCTAGGATTTACCATTGATTTTTGTGAATTTTTTTTTGTTGAAGGTGTCGTACATTTTTACCATATAAAAAAAAAAAATTATCAAAAGTGCATATATGTATTTTTAATTTAAATATATTTTCGCATTAAAGTATGGTGCGTTTTCTTTAAAACAAGGTATGTTCGAAGATTTTTTTTAGAATCCTCTTTCATTGTGATTTAAACACGCTAGATTTTTTCGATGATATCTTCGAAGATCTAGTACGATACTTTTTTCACAGTGATTTTTTTATTTCACTATCTAAAATACATAAACAGTGCCACATCCATGCGTAGACAAGTATGTATGTTTCATATGTACATATGCCTTTCATTTTAGGTGGACCTAGTATTGTGAGTTCCAAGGACGCTGAATACAAATTGGCACAATCAGGCGACGCTACTTGCAATGGACTGGATAGTGCAGAGGTAATATTTATTCAAATAGTAATCTTATAGCTGACATTTACTTATTTATTTATGTACATTCATCTGTATATTATTTGCAGGTTGGTTCCCGCATTATGTCGTTGAGAAAACCACCTGTGACCGAGCGATGTGACTTTCCGGCGTGGTTTAAAGGGCCGCGACATTGGCATGTTTTAATGGGCAATGCTGTCTACAATTATCATCCAAAGTAAATATA